CTTTTCATCTCTCAACTCGACCAGCAGGTGAGTCCCTCAAAACTTTGCCGGCCCCCCAAACTTGGTGGCCTGACCAGGCCGTGCTGTCCCCGTCTCCCATACCCCCCGCGCGCGTCCGGCTGCGGCTTGCTCGGAGCACCCAGCCGCCCCCTGGACCCCCTGCACAGGCCTAGCTACAGAGGCAAGCTGACCGCCGCCCCGCCGCCCCGACCGAGGTCGTGCTCGGGCACGGTCCCGTGGCGTTGCGTGTACCCGACTATAATGTCAGGTGACCTAATAATAGAGCATCAAACTAGCCGCAGCTCTAGCGTGCCGTGCCGTGTGCGCCGGGCCAGTTGGTGCGAGGACGGTGGGGCTGGTGGTGACGGCGATGATGGTCACAATGCCGCTGATCACGGTGTCCCCCCCCCCCCCTCTCTCTCCCTCTCTCTCCATCTCTCTCCACGGTGCGACTCCCTATCCGCAAGCACGGCGCTCTTAAGCTGCTGCTTATATTTAGCACCCCGTCTCGCGTGATAAAATTACCAACTAGATCTCTCCTCGTCTCTACGCTTCTATTTGATTCTCTGCATCTCTCTCTCACACACCCTGCTCCCGCTCACTTTCCCATTTCACTCACTCCCCTCCCGATTCCCTCAGTGCTCTTCCTTTCACCCCTCCCTTCACCGCGACCTCCCCGCCGTCGGCGTGCCCTTCGCTCCACTTTGCATACGTGCCATCCCTTACCACTCCTGCCCGCCACCACGCCACCTGTTCTTGGTTTGCAAGGACCTTCAACCACCTTCTCTCCAGCAGCGGTGGCTCCTGAGCGAGGAGGGTGCGGAGAAACCCATAGAAATGGGTTTGCAGGGCACACTTGAAACGATTCACTGTGAAAAATACTCGTAAGGGTAACGGGAAAAATTTTCATGATAAAATTACAATTTGAAATTGTAAAATTACAAGCATTCCCTATTGGGCTGTTGTTAGTTTACGACATGTTTTGTAAATCAAAATAACAACAAATGTCGTAAATTTGCGAGGGTATTTTTCACAGTGTTTATTGATATTTGGATCACCCTAAACATTAAACGATTGAGACATAGAAGGGGAAGGGCCCAAAACCCCTAAAAGAAGACGCCGTGATTTGTTCGGACAAAATATTTCTGTCTTCTGATGAGTTCTTTCAGCTAGCCGCATACTTACCCTAAATTCCTCCACAGACAAGAATTGCTTTGTAATAGCAAAGTAAGGATTCGTCGTTACAAGGCATCAGAATCCTTCACACTTTAAAAAGCGTGTCTGCAAAACATTGCTTTGCAGGAGTTTAACAGTGCAGGTTCATAAATGGACTGACAGAGAAACTAAATTTCTATGTTTGACTCTGGGGCTCTGGGGTAACTCGTTTCTAAACGCACCCTCGGGCCAGCTTCATGGGGTCCAGCAAGGCCTCCGCGCGTCGCGCAGAGCGCTAGCCGCGCCGTGGATAGACGAGAAGGTGGCTGCGAACCGAGAACAGGCCTTGCCGCCTCTTCTCCCTCCTCCCTCCCCTCTCTCCCCTTCCTCTCACCCGAGTATTAATGCACGCGTTGACCTGATTAAAGCGGTACGGTGGGGTAACGGGCGGCGGGGGTG